GGAACCTAGGAGAAGGGTATTATTAAGGGAGAAATGGGAAAAAAGGGGGCACTTCAAATGGGGAAACCATGGTGGAAGGGTTAGACAATGAGAGTGATAAATAATGTCTAGCTAGTTTTAAAAAACCAGAGGGAACCATATTAGTCCAACAACCTACTGACAAATTATACATACAACTACCTCAAGGAATATAATACATGTCTAGGCAAGGCTTATCTGAGAATGTTTGGTCTTTGCCCAAGTTTTATCTACATAGCACATGCTAATTAAAAGTACCAGACTGGTGGAACTAACCTTCCTGGCTGTCTAACAGTCATACTTTGAGGCCTATACCAATTTGGTCAGAGGGACTTAAAGGACAGTTTTTGATCCTTGCCCTCCAAGGTTGACTAAGCTCCAGGGAACTATGAGCATCTCTCAAAAAGTCCTGTAACTGTGGTATGTCACCTGTCCTCTTGATCAAGGAGGCCATGGAGATCCCACCAAATGGACTTGAACCAGTGTCCAGTCTACAAAGAGGAGGGTCAACATAGAGGAATCATTTCCTCCGTGCTTCCAAGTGAAGCCAGACATAGTTGAGCAGGACCTTTGACTTATCTTCACATAGATGGAACTGGTAAAGGAAAGGAGCCAGGGGCTCCTCCCAAACCCATGTGACCCCTGAGGAACAGATCCTCAAAAGATCGTTTGGTCTTAAACGCAAAAAGGAAGGTATAACCAAAGATTAAAGGGATCAATATAACTCTTTAAGAGTCCATGTTTATAGCTAAAAGCTATATAACAAGAAACAGTTCCAGACAGGAGATACCTTTGAGTTGTTGGCCAGAGTGGCCCCTCCCAGACAGTAACCCAGCATAGAACTGGGAAAATGAACAGAAGACCCCAATGTTACCTAAAGGCATATTGGCAACTGATTGCTGCTAGATGAGGAAGAGCTGATCTTCCTAAAACAAGGAACTCTAGATAGGCTGACTAGATTCAGCAGATGGACAAGCACTGGAGAATGGCTGGGGACGCCAACAACATAGTGGACAGTAACAGGGACTACAGAGTATATGGGCTCCGGTGGAGGGGTGGGTTATGGGAGGGTGCCATTTAGGATGTGGGTATATAGATGAATAAGATTGTTTGAGATGTTCTGTATGAGATACACACAAATTTAACAAATAATAACAATGTTATATTTGAAAAAAATCCCCATTTACAGGTAATATTACAAAAAGAATGATAGACTTATGGAATTATTAATGATAAAAGGAAAAATTGTTAAATAAATACATAAGACAAAGTCTCTTAAAAACAAATGCCAAATGTTGCTTCTTGGGAAAGATCACATGAATAGGCTTTGAAAACTTCTGAAACAAAGCAAAGCAAAACAAACCAAAACAAAAACTTTGGGTCGTCTCATCAAGGAAAAAGAGTGAAGACACTAAGCACTGGAAAAGTCCTATAGCATCTGAGAAGATTTGAAAAATATCAGTAAATGCTATGTCTAGTACCATGAGTAAATATGACATGTATAGGTATATACACATAGAGAACTATATATATTTCACATGTGTGTAAACTATAAAATTTGTAGACCATGAATGGAATGGTTTCTAGGAAATTGTTAATTATGAAATTTGTTTTAAAAAGAGAAAATCTTAAAATTACTAGAAGAATTTGAAAAACTAATAAACATATACCCATTTTAAAATGGTGCTAAAAGATAGTTTACTTCTGCTGGACAGAGCCCTGGTTAACCTATAGTGTTCCAGGAAGGGCCTGGTCCCAAAGGACCACACGAGCCAGTAAGAACTTGTCTAATACTTCTAATGTGTTGCTAGTTTTCAAATGTGGACTGACTTGAAAGTACAGAGCCACTTGGTGCTGCAGATACTACTAGGTTTCTAGACCGTTCTACATAAATCTTTATTAAGCTGTTGCGGAAAATTGTTGAAGCCCTTCCAGTAAGCTGCTGGACTGGGAAGGGCAGAAAGGGAGAAATTCTAACAGGACGCAGTGAAAACCTGTGTGGTTGGAGAAGAAAAGGAAGGATACTTTGCTGCCAGGGGAGGGTTAAGAAACCACTCTGAGGCCAGAACACTAGACACAGTGAGCACTGGAGTGAGGTTAGGCCTCTAAGATAGTTCTCAACCAAGGCCTAAGCCTGAGGTGAACTTGGCTCACAGAAGTTCCCTGTTCCTACCACCCTGACAGCAAGCAGCAAGCGCCCATAGTCTACATGGAGGCAGTAGAGCAGTTTGAGAAGACCCCCTCCCCCGCCCCGTGAGGGAAAGCTACTCAGTGAAGACCTGAAGTCAGGGTGAAGGGGGAACATCAAGGACCCCCAGCAAGCTAGTTCTAACCTCAATCACCACTGAACCTAAGAGTACTTTACTCTGAAGGTAACCATAGTGACAACAAAACCCTAACTCACCTTGAATAGTCACAACATTCACTCAGTCTCTATACTGATTGGTAGGTTGTGGGAGGGAGAGGTGTGCCATGTTCAGGGAGGGCACATATGATATTCCTCTCAGTTTCTACTAACCTATGCACAATATCAGACATTCAATAATAAATTACAAGATTTTTTTTAAAGGAAGAGGAAAATTAAAAAGATCTTGGGTCTCACAATTTTATGAGTGATTTCTATTACATATTTAAGGAGAACAAACTTTGCTATTGCTTAAGCCACTCAAAAAAAAAAATGAGTATGAACAACAAAGGGAAGGGAAACAGAAGGTCAGTATTAAAGGGAATTTCATGAAGTAGATTCACATCTTATTTATAAGTCTTTGGCCATCATGCTACTTGATGGAAACACAGAAAGTCAGATTCTGCCTGGTCTGAGGTTCCTGTTCTACTCTAAGGTAGCCATGGGAGTGTTGGTCTCTTTCAGGTGTCCAAAGATTCTTGAAGAAAGAACATGGGCTCTGGCTTCATAGGTTATGTTGGAAGTTGACGTTTTCTTCACCAAATTCTCTTCTTGCTTGACCCACAGATATGACCCAAACAAGACCAAACTTAGAATCAGGAGCCAGGTGTGGGCAAGTGTCTCAGGGACCCCACCCAGTTCTGGCCTTGCTCACGGTCTGTTCTGGAGACCTACCAGTTCATGGTTGGGTGAGTGGCTGCCTCTGGAGTTTCCCGTGCTGTCAATTTCCCCAGTTGCTGATAGTCCTTTTCTAACCTCAAGACTCTCTTCATTTCAATCTTCTCCTGAGTTGGAGAGGGGGAGGGGAGGTGAAGGGAAAGGCTCAGAAACAAAGAAAACAAGGAGACGGAGGAAGTGACCAGTGCTCAGTGAACCCACAAGTGTGAGAGGCTAATCCAGAAACTACACAGTAACCACCACTGTGAGGTCAGACTGGGTGGCATCTCCTTTACGCACATGCTGCCCTCCTCTACCTCCTGCAGAGCCTCCTTCCTGAACCCTGAAATGACTTCCTGAAATCTGCCCCTCTGCCTCTGTGCTTGGCACCAGGCCCCTCCTGTGCCGCAGCCTCCCCTGGCTGTCAGCTGCTTCCAAAGTCCCCATCAGCCTCATTCAGAGAACCTATGCTTTTCCTGTTTTCAAGACCAGGGCACTGACCCTAGCACCCTAGGAACAGAAGCCTGGGTGCAGAGGACCGTGCCACATCCCAAGGCTCTGATTGTGCTGCAGAGTATGAAAGAAAGGTGAATTTCCAGGGCTGTGACCTAAACCTAGAGGCAGGGCAATGCCTGGAGCCCAGCTGTACACAATGTTCAGAACAGTGACCATGGGTCTGTGGTACTCAAGGAAATGGTGTTGAAAGAGCCATTATGCTTAAGATGTTTGACTGATGGCCAAATAAAATGTTACCTTCTAATGCCAAGATAGACACTTTTGTTGACTGGTGAATTTTTGAAGGAGGAGGAAAGAGGGTGACAGAAACAAGCTGTTTTAAAGGTAAGGCATCTTTTCTTCCATGATGGTCTTATGGATGGGAATGGAAATAGAGATGGTAGGGAGGTATTTCTTGGCTCCTAGCCTCCTAGATCCTCTCTCTGTGGGGGCTGGCACTCTATGCCATGCCATCCATCTTCCCATCAACCCCATGTACTTTCTATAAGCAGAGTGAATCCCTCTGCCCTGTCGGTCCCTTTATGTGGCCCCTTGTTATAGTTGGTCCTGGGTAGGGGGGAGGAGGACAAGAGCAGGCAAGCTGGCCTGAGAGAGGGGACTGATCTGGAAGATACTGCAAAGCCAAAGGCTCAGCCAAGGGGCCAAAGGTCCCTGGAACTGACCCTACAAGGCAACTTCCTGGTGTTTGCTGACTCCATTGAATTTTTAAATTTTCCCCAGCCCTAAAGATCTGGTTGCTCTTCTCTTCTGTCATTACAACTGCTCTTCTGTCCAGTATTTTTTCTACTTCTTTGGGAATAAAGAGGCATCCTCTCAGAGTGTGATGTTTCATTACATTTTTATTTTCAAAATTATTTGTACTGCTAGTGACTGTAGGAAAGGAAAGCACACGATAGCGCAGTAAGAAAACAATGAGTAACACGAGGTTTTTCAAACTGTGAGTCATTGTTCTAGTGATCCTTGGTCATTTTTGAAGCGTCAAAGGGGGTTAGTTTTTATAGAGTAGTGATCCACATGGTTTAGAATTGAAACAGTCATAGCAAAAAATATGTGTATATAATCTGTCCTTAATAGCATAGATTTAATAATGAACCCAGTACACACAATAACCTCAAGATCACCAGGATCCCTTGCTCATCATGTGAGAGATACATGTTCCCAGGCACTGCACATTTCCCTGTTATTTCCCTTCCCCTCTACTCTACTTGGCTGCTGCAGATTCTCTTCCTCTTTGTTACCCCATCTCTCCTCAAACTCCTCAAATACTCTCAGCCAAGGAACTTGCTTTTTGTCTTATATAAATTTTATATAAAAGAATTGAGTTCCTCCCCCCACCCCAGCTCTTCCTAGATTTTGCTTTTTCTTAACGGAATTTCTCACCAAGACACCACCAGTGCTTCCACCGCCACCAACACATCCACTGCTCTGGAGTGACAAGAGCCGCATCTCAGATGTTGGAGGGGAAGAAACCTGTCTGGAAAAGCATGAGGCCCTAGTTATGGGACCTTTCATTGGTGCCAAAGGAGGGAAGGCGTAGATGCGCTTATTTGCTCATGTTCCTGAGATCACAGAAACTAAGCCCAATCTTCCCTCCTCCCTGCTGAATCCCCCCCCCATCCCTTCCCTGCCTTCCTGCCTACTTTTGATCTAAAACAAGTCTAACTCTGTGATGGACAGTTTTCATCATGAGTTTTAGCCCTCCTTCAGCTGATATTTATTAGTAGCTACAGAACTCTACCTGAACTACCTGAACTTGGGACCCAACTCAGTGAAGACAATTTAGTTGGTAATCTTGGGTTTTTGCTGTTTTGGAGAATTACAGTGATAGCAATAATCATGGTGATGAAGATTACAATTGATCACAACAGAGTACTATATGCCATACCATAATAAAGTAACATGGATTGCCTACTCTGATTTCTAAGCCCTAATGGAGCTATTTAGGTGTCTATTGCTGCCTTAAAAATTGCCACAAAACAAAGCACATTTACAATCTCATAGTTTCTGTCAATCAGGAACCCAAGCATGACTTAAATAGTTCCTCTCCTGAGGATCACTCAGTCAAAATGTGCTTGAGGGTCATCTCCAGTCTCAGTTGTATAAGGAATTGCTCCTCAGTCTACATGCTTGTTCACAGAGTACACTTCCACATGGGCAGATGCACTAAGGCCCATCACTGAAGGGTTCTTCATTGGCCGTTGACAGAAGGTGCTCCCAGGTCTTTGCCAGATTGGCCCCATCCAAGATAGTGGCCTTATTCTTCAGAGTTAGAAATTGCCCTTCTTTTGTATCCTAATCATGGAAGTGACATCATTTCTGTCATAGTCTACTATCTAGAATCAACTCACTAGGTCCAGCTCACTCTCAAAAGGAGGAGATTGCTTACATAAGTGACAGGAACCACCGGAGTCATCTTGGGAACCTGACTGATGACCAATTAGGTAAGGAGGGAGAAAGAGATGTTTTTAAACCACAAAGATAATACCAAGCATAGGAAATGGAAGTAGTTCAAAGTTGGAACTTACGCTAATAAATCTAGGGTAGAATGTGGACGTGCCTTATACTGATTTTGATCTCCAGTGTCTTTCTCTTTCTCCTAGCCCTATCATGAAGTGTAGATAAGGAGAAAGTAGGTATAAGGTAAAGAGTGTAAATGGAACTACTAGGACACCATGCAAGCAAATGCCTTCCCATTGGAAAAACGATGGTGATAGAATAGTGGGGTAGAATATAAACAGAAAAAAAAAATGAAGAAAAAACACTCTAGGCAAAAGTGACCCAAGTCCCTATGAATAGAAGATGTTTTGCAAGGTCATATCAAAGCATTAAACAGAAAAGGTAGAAAATAAGGTGAGAACCAGATCCAGAACAAGGTGTGTACAATCAGAGACAGTCAAGATGAAGGCAACGAGCTCCAAACAGAGGATAAAAAGCTAGCTCAGGTAAGGTTTTTAAGGCAATGTTGCACAGAGAAAAGATGTGAAGAAGAGCACTGGCAATATTGGCTGGCATCACCAGCTAATGTAGGAGGGGCCTGTGGGGATCGGCCAGAATACCGGACCTGGAGACTTCTGCGCAGGCGTGCCAGTCTAACACGACCTACTTCCTCGAACTGCTAACCTGATATCTGCCACCCGGGCTAGAGACAGATGACGTGACGGCCACACCAATACACAATATACAGCTCAACCCTCAGGGCCAATGGGGGAGGTTTGGGGGGTATATAGGAAACCCTTTTGTACGCAATGAACGAGCTTGCTGGCAGCCCACTACTAAGCAGCATCTCCCCGAGTCTGTGTTGTTGATTTCGCGCCTACTCATCCCCTGCCCGCCGAGACTGGAGTCAGGCCACCATAGAGCACAGCGACAAGCTAAAACCAACTTTATTTAAGACCTATTTTAGGGGGAAAGGTTTCAGGAGTTTTCAGAACCTTTAATTTCCTAGTGTGATGTGTAAAATGGTGGGGTGGAGATGAAGGGTGAGGATGTAACAGAAGGCATTCCTGACATGTGCTTGCTTGTTCTGCATGGCAGCTATAACATACTACAACTTTGGGTGAGGGTCTCATATCAAATACCTATGGACCTTTTTTGAGAACAAGAAGGATGAGACTTGAATCAAACATTTATAGTGAGCTAGGAATGGTGGCCCATGCTTGAGAAAGACAGAAAACTATTCAACAAGCAGCTGCTTTTGAGCTTGCAAAACCTGAACCTCAACAATGGGAAAGACCACAAGCAGGAGAGGAGTCACCAGATCTTTTTATAATCATTCTTCCATATCCCCAAGGCTCTTGGGAATCCCACAATCCTTTTCTCTAATATGCTCCTTCTCCTGGAAGGCTCATCTTGTCAACAGAAGGATCACACCCTGGACTCATCTCTTGGAGTTTTCCCAGTATCAAAATGTAGAGATAATGAAGTGGGGAGTCATTGAGGGAGGCAAGATGAAAATGCCTTGAAGGTATATCTTTTTACTAGAGAGGAAGAAAAATAAATGAGGAAAGGATTTCTTGCCAAACCACAAAGGCAACAGTTTATGGAAGGATGCTAACTTCTCTGGCTTTTAGTGGAGAAATACCCACGGTGAGGGTTGAGACACCAGTACCTTCATAATCAAAATATTTGGAATCTCCCTTCCAATACCTGAAAGCAACTGAAGTCCCATTCACAAACCACAAGCAAACTGGCTACGTGCAGCCTCCCCTTCCTGGAGGACACAATGTTATGTTTCTAGGTTCCCCCTTGAGGATATTACAGTAACTTTCAGTGGTTAATGAATAGCTTCTCAGTGCCTGCTTCATTTAATTGTCCAAAGGCCATTTGTTCCTGTGTATAAGGCTGCAAGCTGGCTAATGAGTCCACTCCCTTGAACAGGCATGGAAGCAGAGGAGTGGCAGGGTCAGCCTCACTCCCGAGGAGCAGGGATGCAGAACCGGACTGGCCTAGTTCTCTGTGCCTTCACCCTCCTCACTGGTTTCCTGATGATCTGCCTCGGGGCTTTCTTCATCTCCTCCAACTCCATATTCCATTGTCAGGGGAACCTGGTTGTGGCCTATGTGCTTCTTCCTTTGGGATTTGTGATCCTTCTAAGTGGAATTTTCTGGAGCACCTACCGTCAGGCGAATGAAAACAAAGGGGTATTCAGCCATGTGCTTAGACAGCACCTTGCTCGCAGGGACCTGCCCCTGGCCACCGTGGACAGGTATGTACTGAGCACTAGAGGGAACAAGAAGGGTAGAGAGGGCCACTGTGTGGAAACTGGAGGGACTTCTAATCCCATAGTGGATCCACTTACATGTCCCTCTGGGCCTGAAGTCCCACTGTCAGGCAATCACTCTGGGGTTGTGGAAGAACAGGACTGTCTTTAGGGAAAACAATGAGATAAAGGGGAGTTTTCTTAGGGTAAGGTCCCCTAGCAGAAACCCACCTAAGTGAACTTAAGGGGCCCTACTCCTAGGTTCTTCTTATGTATTGGGTGCATTGGTTAGAAGCAGGTGATGACTAGCTCTTTACTATAACCTGGTTGCTGAATTATAAGGAAAGTAAGCCCCAGACCAAATTCTGTCCACAGCAAACAAGCAAGCAGACATCAAATCAGTCCAATGACTTCTGGACTAAGAGACGTCCTAGATGACAGTCCCTTTAGGTGTTCTGATCTCTCCTTGTATGAAGGATTCATTCAAGGTAAGATGGTAAAATGTCAATCAATGACCGACAAACAAAAGGCAGCATATTCACACATTAGAATATTACTCAGCCTTAAAATGGAACAAAATCCTGATATATGCCATAGATGGGTACACACTGAAAACATTGTGCTAAGTGATATCTGCCAGGCAGAAAGGACTGCATGATTCCACTTATACCAAGTAACTATCAGAGTCAAATTCATAATGATGGGATGTGGGACAGTGGTTCTGTTCTCAGGGCCTGGGGAAGGGAGAATGAAGAGTTGTTATTGAATTAATACAGGATTTTAGTCTGGGGTGATGCAGAAGTTCCATAGATAGTTGCAAAACAATATGAGCGCACACCCCTGAAATGTCCTCTTACAAATAGGACATTCCAAATTATATATAGTTTACCACAAGAAAAAAAATACACGAAGGTTCAAGTAACCTTGTGATCAGTTAACTGAGCATCAACCTCCTAATTCCTGTCCAAACACTGGGCCATTTAGAGTTAAAACCTTAGTCATCACTGGGCTGGAGAGATGGCTCAGTGGTTAAGAACACTGACTGTTCTCGTAGAAGACCCGGGTTCGAATCTCAGCACCCACATGGCAGCTAACAACTGTCTGTAACTCCAGTTCCAAGGAATCCGACGACCTCTTCTGTCCTCCACGGGCATTGGATGACAGGAGTGCACTTACATGTAGGCATAACACTCATACACATAAAATAAAAATAATAAATAAAATATTTTTTTTAAAAAAACTTAGTCATCATTCTTGAGGTATAGGCTATGAGAGTCCATAAGTCTCTTTGCTCTTTTCATGCAAGAGAAGGGAGGCCATGAGATGTTTTAGCTCCTCCATGTATCTTGAATATGAGTCATCTCACCCATGACCAGGCATTGTTGACATCCATCACACCAATGACAACAACCAGAACTCATTTCCAATGTTTATTTAGACTAACCAACAAGGTCTTTGGGATTGATTAAAAAGGAAGACAATGGAGGTGCTAGAAGATGCTTCTAGAGTAATATTCTCTCTCTCTCTCTCTCTCTCTCTCTCTCTCTCTCTCTCTCTCTCTCTGTGTGTGTGTGTGTGTGTGTGTGTGTGTGTGTAACTCTATAGTGTGAATTCCTGATAAGAGTAACTGAGTACCTTTCAGATGTAGCCGATATTAACACATGCATAATATTATACTGTCTGTGCTGGAGTATTTGAAAGTAAATCATGAATATATCAATTCTCCATTTCATTGCCTTCTCCTGCTGCATCCCTGAGATGTTCAGGCTGCAGTCAAACTGAGAAGTTTCATTTCTCAGAAGTTTTGCACTCAAAATGTGTAACCTGGTAGAGGTATCCAAGTGAATGTTTCTCCAGTTCTCGAATTTAGGGCAGGAGTCCTCCTGGATCCTCTCACGTGGCTCCAGGGAAGAGCGCACCTTTCTGTTCCCATGACTCAACCTTGGCTATTCCAGGGGAAAGCTGAGACACTGTACAGTAGCTATTTCCTTTGGGTATTTGGCCTGGGGCCTGGTAACATTTAGAGTGGAGCTGTGTCTACAAATGGCTGTCCTTGTTCTGCTGTGGTTACACACCATAAACACTCCCTTTGGCACTTGATAAACTTGCTCTATAAATACACAACTCATCCAAGCTCACTCCACCGCCACCTCCATTCATGGTGGAGAAACCAGAAGATTTAACCACCAGCAAGATGAGCAAGATGGCCAACGAGTCCATCGGCTCAAGGTGAATGACACTTATAACCATGGGCAGGCCAGCATACAAAGGCTGCAAATGAAAACCTCAGCGAGCTTTCAGCTGGAGCCTTTTGAGAGATGGGTGTGTTCCTGTATGGTTTCTTAGAAATTAGCTGCCAAAACTTGGAAGGGTGTCAGGGGAAAGTGGTGGCATCTGCTCAAGTTCAGAGACCAGCATGTGGTAGGTTTCCATTTGTTATTTTGTTGCCTATGAAAGTCGGAGACCTTGAGTGCACTGGAGTAGATGAGGTTGTGAGGGGAAATCAAGGACTGAGTACTGGCTAGAGAAGCTCCACAGTCAAATCCCCGGATCCCCTATGCCAGTAAAGATCTCATCATGAACAGCTCTTTCCAGGACTGAAGGAGCAAGAGAGGAAAATATAGCCTGGAGTATCTGTCTGGAAAAAAATAGAGCTATCAGCAGGTGCACCATGGCTGAAAAAGGGTTCTTCTGGAAGGGTGCACATTTTTTAGAAAGCGGTTAACCCAGGGAAGAAGTGCATCTGTTTCAACTCAATATTTCTTAGCAGTTTAACTTCACACATTGTGCGCTGAGAGAGGCAGGCATATGCCTCTTCGCCATCAACACCTAAATAACACATGCATGTTTGTGGCTTTTCCTTCCACAGACCTGACTTTTATCCCCCAGCTTATGAAGATAGCCTTGGTGCTGAGAAGCCAGACTGTCTTGCAGGTGGAGGGGCCTTGGACTTGCCTCCACCTCTTTACACAGAGACCATCCTTGAACTTGAAGATGGAAATGATGCCCAACTGGAGGCCCCGCCATCCTACCAAGAGTGCATAGGAGACCCAGGGGCTACAGCAACAGCAGAGAATGCTCAGTGGCCCAGCGCAGTGCTGACAACCAGGATGACTCCAGCACTCAGAAGCAGTGTGGGATCCTCCAAGGGCATGTCAGCTCCAGGCAGACAGGGCAGAGGATTCTCACTTGGCCTAATCCGGATGAGCCCCTGACCACAGAGATGTGCAGCCAGACCTTCTGCCTCCCTCCCCACCCCATCATCTCAGACCAAGCTGGGACGAGTACCTGCCGTTGATGGGACAGCCACAGCCCTTCAGGCATTGCATTAAGAAAGAAACTCAAAGGGAAGAATGCTGGGAAGCAGCTTTGGAGTTCCCCCACAACTGGGCCACCTGAGCAACACCACAGCACCCATCATGAGAAATGTCCTGAGAAACCAGGAATGCTGTTTTGTACCATTTTATTTTAATTATTGTGTTTTTTTTCTATATGAAAAAGTGTAATATTCTCTTTCAAATGGTTTAAACACAAAATGTTGAGTTATTTTGTAAAAAGGTCCTCATGCAAGCAGATATTTCCTATGGATTCATGTTGAATAGATAGACTACTTAATTCATGGTACACAGAATCCTGGGGGGTAATATTAATATATGATTTGTTACAAATCTTGTGAACTTTAAAAAATGTTTATATGCAAGCTTCTAAGAACCTGGTGTATTTTAAATCTTCAGAATGCAAAAGATAAAAACTTTACTGATATATCTTCATCGCCAGGAAGTCCTTCATGTTTCAAAGTAGAAATCTTGACTTCTAGGCTTGAGCAGTTGGTTAAAAAACCCAGTAACTCCTCCTTGGTTTTATTTGCTTTACAGAAGTTTTAAAAATCAGAGAATAGGTCAGGGAACAGGGTGCTAAAAAGACACACAGACGGATATTTCTGGATTTGGATGAGGATGCTCATCTCTCTGGGCCTCTGGTTCTTCCTCAAAGCAAGGCATTCGTGCTGGACCTGATAGCTAACACTTGTGGCAAGCCTTTCAAATGGCAGGTTCAACTTACCTTTCCAGGCACATTTCTTAGCTGCCCTTCCGTTCTGAAAAGATGGGTGATGTGATCATTCCCATTTTACAGACGCAGCAACTGAGGCTTTAAGACATTGAGAAAGGTGTTCAATAGTGTACAGTGCACAGTTCTTCAGAAAGGCAAAGAACATTTCATAGAGGGATGTGAGAGAAGCTGCTTGCTTCACTTTTATGCTAGGCTACCCTCCTTCCAGCAAACATCTTGGATTTCTCCTCCCACTCAGAAAATGATCACTAACAGAAAATGGTGCTCCTGGTCACTGAAATATCTTTCACCCATGGAGAAGCAGCCAAGGTAGCATTAGGGTTATTTGGACTTCTCACTTAAGATGTAAGTCTGCCATGTTTTCTTTCTATGAGCTGGGCCCTCACCTCACAGTGCAGTTTTCCTGCACCCTTAGGATGCATCCTTGAGGTGGACAGCAATGATGATGGGTAGAGGAGAGTCTTTGAACACTCAGAGGGAAGGACTCGATCTTTCAAGAAAGAGGATATCAAGATGGAGTTGGTCCATCCCTCTATGGTTCTAAATAAGCAGTATCACTGGGCTTCTACTCAAATGTGCATGGGGAATAAATGGTTTTCCACCACTTGGAGTCAGCTAAAACAGATATTAAATTTGGTTTAATGTCTCTAAAGTAATGGATTTTGTATTCAAATTCATTTAAGAAACTTTGTGTGTGTGTGTGTGTGTGTGTGTTGTATATGCATGTGTATATATGAGTGCATGCATCTGTGTGCATGCATGTGGAAGCCATAGGTTACCATGCTAGCCAGGCTAGCTGGTCAGTGAGCTCCTGGGGATCTGCCTGGGGTCACCGGCACAGGTGGCCATGCCCAACTTTTTATGTGGGCATGTGGGGATTTGAACTCAGGTCCTCTTTCTTTCACAGCAAGCACTATTACCCACGTAACCATCGCTCCAGCCCTCAGACTTTCTTTCTTTGCCACTTTTAGTATCAGAAAACATATCAGTAGAGGAACAAATGTCACAGGATCATTCTCCACAGTATCAAGATGAGTTAATCTTTCTGCATACCCAACATTATTGAACACCAACTGTTGATTCAGAAAACAACCTGGGGCTTCCTTTTGGAAGGGACTACTAAAGTGGGACTTGGTGGCACACACCTGTAATCCCAGCACTTGTGAGGATGGAGACTGGAGAATCAGGAGCTCAAAGTCAGACTTAGCTACATAGTGACATAGTAAGTGAGAGACCAGCTTGAACTACAGAAACCCTGAATCTCTGCTGCAGAAAGGGGGGAGAGGGAAGAAAAGTTTATACTAATACATACTTCTTGATTAAAAAAAAAACCCACATGCACTCTGATTTAAAAGTCAAGAACCTGGACAGTACCCAAAACAATCTTGCATTTTGAGAGTTCCAGTATCTCAAATATACTGAGCAAGTCCAACAAAAGTCTCCTACTACAGTGAATGATACATGATTATCCCCTGGAGGATGCACTCTGGCAAAGTAGCTACTGCATCTCCATTCCTCCTCAAGTTTATGAATGAATGTTGCTGGATCGGCAGGCAGATTGCCAGGAATGCTGGGAGGGCGCTTGGACGATGACACAATGGAGAGAGGGAAGTCTTCATTACTGAGGATTTTGACTCATTCTTCCTCCTCTCAAGTATAAATGGTAGGCCCTTCAGGGTTACAGTCTTATTGTGTTCTTTCTGTTTGGCTTATTTGATACAGGATCTCCCTGTAGCCCCAGTAAGCCTGAAACTCATGATGGAGACCAGGCTGGCCTCAACCTCGCGGAGATCTGCCTGCCTCTGCCTCCCGAGTGCTGGGATCAAAGTCGTGTGCTACCATGCCTGACTCATGATCCTTTGCAGCAAGTTTACGTGATTATGACCAGCACCCAGAAGATGAGGATGGCAAGTCAAGTGACAGAATATAAGATGCTGTATCTTTGCATATCTGAGATGTACTGGATTCAATCTTGACCCCTCTGTGCAAATCTCACAAGTGTTTTTACTAACATACCTGTTCATCCTTCAAGATTTTACTTAAACATATTGTTTTTGTGAAGCATCATCACAGCTCATCTACATGGCAGAACACATGCTAGGTGCTGAAAGATATGTAAAGAGGTGAAAATCATTGATTTGTGATCCATATCTCCACTGCATTCTATAAAATTCCATGACAACTCAGGCTGACTCATGTATCAGTGAGCTGTCAACTGCATGAGCTATTTCTGCTGGTAAAGACTCCAGTTGGTTGGAGTGGAACAGGCATTTTGCTAAGCTCTGCCACCTCAGATAATCTCTTGCTGTTTATAACTGCTGAGGGTCCAAACATTGATTTACTAGCAGTTACATCATTTCCCAAGGCACAGTTTCTCAGACCTTCCTACCTCAGGAATGGAAATCTCTTCAGGGCACGTTTGGGGCCTCACTGTCCACTTCAGGACATGATCCAGCAGTAGGACAGAGTCATCTTGCTGTCATTACCAGTTTCCATAGTACTTTCACATTCCCTACACCTGCCATAGCTAATGGATCTGGCCACCAAAACTCCCATGGCTTACACTGACCCATGGGTGGCCAATCAAAGTCACCATACCATCGTTCTTTCCATGGTTCAGTGCAGGCAACTCTCAGCCCAGGGCTGGACACCATGGATGGACATCAATCCAAGTTTTCTTATTTAAAAGCATTCATGTCTTTAACCAAGCCCCTTAGTCTGGACTGCCACACCACTGTGTGACTTGCAAATATTATGGATGTATGCTGCACTTTGGAGCAGTAAGATATGATAAGTTATTTTAATGATGGCTACCCTTTTTGCATATGTGATAATGTATGTGCACATGTATGCACATGCTTGTGGACCTCAGATGCTCTCCACCTAATTTTTTGACATAGAGTCTCTCACTAAACCTGGAGCTCACCTATTCACCTCGACTGCCTGGCCAGTAAACCCCAGGCAATCTCTGCCTCCCCAGCCCTGGGGTAACAGGTATGTGCTGCTGTACCTCGCATTTATGTGGGTGCTGAAGAATGAAATTCAGCTGTTTATGTTTATGCAACAAACACTTTACCAGTCAAGTCATCTCCTTGGCCCCCTCCCCATTTTTAAAGGATAGCTAATAAGTTCAAGAATCCTGAGTGAAGTAAAACAATCCTTTTCTTTTGTGGAGAAAAAGCTGTCACCTGGCATACAGGGTGTTTGATATCCTGGGTCCCCTCATACTAAATGTCTCTCTGGCTCATATGTGTACACATTTCAACATCCCCTGAGTGAGTGGGGGGTGCCACCCTAGTGGAGAACCACTATGAAAACTACACACACACACACACACACACACACACACACGCACACACACGCACACACACACACGCACACACACACAGATGGTGGCTCAACATTTTCTGAGGCATGTGTCATAGTGAGGGAACCCCTCAGTGCTAGAATATTACCAGAGTGACCCCAATAATTGCTGTATGCTAACCTTATTATCTTCTATAATTCACTCCAGTGGTTCCCACAAAATTCTTGCATGGCTCAGGTATTTTACTCTTTTAATGTTTAAAAAAATTATTATTGTGTATGTGTAAAGCTCATGAAGTTGCACCTGCCAAGTGCACACATGGAGGTCAGAGGACAACTTCGAGGAGTTAGTTCTTACCTACCACCCTTACCTGGGTTCTGGGGCTCAAACCTGAGTTTCCAGGCTTGCACAGTAAGCACCTTTACTGCCTGAGCCATCTCTCAGGCACTCCCATAGTTTATCTTAAAGGCTGGCTGTTGGAGTTCCATCTTTAAGAACATAAGGAACATTATGTATGGAAGGGAGATTTGCTGACATTTGTCCCTCATGAGAATAAGGCAAGAGCACATACAACATACACACAAAATCCCACAATGAAAGCTTGGGTTAATGCAGAAATAATGCTTTGGCAATGTGAGCGTGGGCAGGCCTAGAGACGGGCTGTGTTCCAGAATCATCAGAGGACCGTCCCTTTTGTAACACAGCTGAGAAAAAGCTCAGTGAAAACAGGTGGCTGTGCAGATCTGCTCCATCTGATTTCACAGCCTGAGTCTGCCTCAGCACCACCCATCACACCAAAATTTTGGATCAGACCCAAAGCCAGAGTCCTCTCTGTGAGTCCTGGCCATTCCATTCACCTATGGTTACAAATTCCAGAAAACCATATTCTTCAGGAGAGCTCTCTCGTTCCCAGAAGCCCACCATCTCTGAGTTAATTGTTCTCTGTGTATTCCCACATTGCATAGTGCTTCCTTTATAACATTTATGCTTCTCCAATACCTTGTGAATGTTTGCCTCCTAATTCCCAGACTGAATTCATAAGAACAAAAATGACCTAAATAGTTTTTCAACTAGTGTTTGCTGAATGAATGAAGGAGTGAATGGATGGATAGGTGAATACAGACTGGGCTACTACATGAGTTCATGTTGAAGAAAGAGGAAACTATGTTTAAGTAACAACTAATTTGAACTTAAAAGTTAGAAATTATTTAAATTTAGCAACTTGAAAAAAAAGATTTGCTTGCCTAGAGCTGATATACTGAAGAATCTGCCTGACTGTGCTGGTCAACATGTCTACAATTAATGAATCTATG